GATTCTGCGCCAGAGGAATACAAGAAACTTGCCGAGCGGTGTTGTGATGCTGATCCTGATAAGCGTCCTGATGCAAATACACTTCGGACAGATATTTACCATACTATTGACGAAGTGGGAAAGGATAAATCTGATGACAATGTGTGGTATACTATCTATCATACTGATGTAAAGCCGTTATCACGTCTCGAGAAGGAGAGTAAATATTCCAGCACACTCTTACCTACTGGAGCTTTGCCTAAACCGAAAAATAGTTATGAAATGTCAATTGAGTTTCAGGTATGAGAGCAACGATTGGTTACAAAGTAAAGTCAATTACAATATTAACATCGTTTTATTGTCTAATAATTTAGTGACACAAACACTCTTGTAATTCGTGGTTTATTTACTGTTTTTACGAGATTTACTCAAGGTTCGCTTCTCTCCCAATTAGATATATTAAATTTGTCAACAAGAGTTGCACGTTTACTGTTAGACTTCTTTCCCAGGTAGACTATTTGAGTATATAATATAGCGGTCATTTTTAAATTTATGATACTGAATAAAATGCGTAATTACGTTCTGGTCAGTTTTAAACTTCATTGTCAATTTCAGTTAGTTTCGCGTTTCCTAACATTGTTTTTATACCTCTCCCAAACGATTATACAGTCGCAAAATTATCTTACTCAACTCTTCATCGTTATTGCTTTTATTTGACATTGGATAATACTATGTAGTAGTTAAAACGCAACAGCTGCTTTGTGACTATAATGCAAGAATCCTGTAGATAAAAGTTATCCCAAGCCTTCTTGAAATCTCTTAAAATGTCTGACACTTTGTAAGAACCAAAACCTTGATTCATTCCACTGCTTATCGATGGTATCAATCCATCGACGATCTATCGCCATTCTTTTAATGATAATGTCCTAACTATGCAAGTTTAACAACTTGCCACGCAAGTGTACCAATTAGGTATGTCAAGCTCGCAAAATAACGTTTGATTTGCCCTATCCAAAATTTGCCGAGTCTGAGCAAAGATTAGCTAGTTAACTGACTACAAAACACTTGCTATTACTACGTGTGCACGCCTGTTCATTATTGTTGCTCAAGATATTAAGGCAGATCATTTATTACGTGTATTATTATTATTATTATTGTTCTGACCCGAATCGAAATCTGACCCAATTCGGAATAGGTCGACCCAAATCGAAATCAGCTCAGAGTGATATCTATGCGATATAATCACAAAATTTATGCGGACACATACTGCACAAAAGGGTACACGGCAGGTTATATGTTAAGAGCAATAATTTTATTTCTAATGATTTGAACATTCGATTTGGATCAGAACATTGACAGCAAACTTTACTGAGGCGAATAGGACATTTGTTTTGCGTTGCCTGGATGATTTGAGAAAGTGGAACGAACGATGAAAAATCTGAAGATGGGAGGGTAATGCTACATCGGAATATTCGAATGTGACGTGAGAGGATTAGGCAGTACGACGAGCGCCAAATACGTAAGCGGTCAATTATTCTAAAAGTAATTATTTAAATCAAATTAATGAATGTTGAATTGCGTAGAATCTGTCGAAAGTGAAACCAGTGAACCGGATGAAGACTCGTAGACTGTAAAGCCGCAATGGGGTTATCCGCCGCCAGGATTACCATGTAGGGGATGTCGTCAGACTTGGTATACCAGCTTCTGACGGGCAGAAAAGATTACTACTGTGCAAGATGATGGAAGTTTTAGATAATGGATGGTATAGGCTGGGCTGTAGTCTGGCCCCTCTACACATCTTGGTAGTTTTTACCTCAAGTGTGCTAGTAAAACCTTTCTCTACAACAGTTTGAAGTTGAGGGTCAGGCTTTGTTCGATGATCGTCAATCATGCGATTGTGTGTGAAGAAAACACATATGTAGATCGTTTAGAGTATTTATATTGTAGCATGGCACACATAAATACGATGTTATGGGGTGACACGCATATTTGGAAAACAGAAACCATCGTAATACTGTAAGACGTTTGTTGATGGAGTGAAAAATAAATAAATTCAATTCGACTCTCATTGAGTAGGCGTAAATACTGTATTACCAGGATAATATGATGCTCGTTTATTATTATTATACCAACAATCCAACGTTTTGCTAGAAAGTATTTTCGGCAATGTATGCACGCTCATTCTTACGGTGTACCCCAGGTACAGAAATGACAAAACTGAGAACCTGAGCAATAGAGTAGTAGAGCAGTAGAGGTTACTGCGAGCTGAAAAGTCTTGTTTACCATATAGAACGATCAACATTAATGCATAATAAAAGCATGATACCATAAATATTCTCAATTTAGCATTGATAATAATAAGCGTGTGCAAACTGGTTTATCACAATTAATATATGACCACTTTGAGAGATCCAAGATTGTCCACTTCCGAGTTTAATCGATAGAATACATCAAATCCCTTGCCGATATACAGATGATATGCGAAAAGCGCCTTTGTGGGAAAAAATTTTTCACGCATCTCTTGCATCGCTTTCATTATTTTCCAAACGTAGTATTTATAAACGAAAAATCTCGGCAAAATGTTTGCTTTGATTTATCAATTAAATACGAAACTTCTCAGACAACTGCGAAAAGCGCCTTGATGTAAGTTTTATTTTAAAAAAGTCTACACGGGAAAATTATTCTCTAGTTGATTATTGTATGCACTGTAGATCTTACTCGCCAATGCGAAATAAATTTAAAGCACCATTTTGAAGTTCTGATTTCAAACGAGTAAATATGATTTCCCACGCACAAACTTTATTTTGTGCAACTGCCTTTGTCTTCATTGAAAGTGCAGACAGGGTGCGAAGTGCCTTTGCATGCATTTATTGCAAAGGAAAATTATCTGGATCAATTGCTTTTATGCGAGGCAGCGTCAAATTTCGGAGCAAATATGCACTTTTCAACAATAACAGTATTTTTCTCGGGATCTAGACGCGACGCAGCGTAATCGTTAAAACACCTAATAATTCGTGTATTCACAGGAATAAATTCATATGAATATGCGTATCTTATACGGAGGATGTTTTCCGTTATACAATTATTCTTTTTGATTTCTAGTTTCCTAGAGATTGTTCTTTTTCAGACAACTAAATACAACGCCGCAAATGGAATGGGTATTCGGATTTACATATCGTACTGATGATTTGGTCGGCACCGATTGTATTGTGAAATTGATAACATACACAACTTGATACGACTATTTACATTGAAACACAAAAAAACGTATAGTTGCAACGCCATATTCACCTATACACTTCTCCAAGATTGTTTCGATATCACACATCTCCAGTGCCATTATCAACCAACGTAAGACGCCACCCCCAGAGAACGGATTAAAGCTTGTTCATATTGAATCATAATAATCCATAGTACCTTTTGGGAGTAGAAATTCTTTTCATCCAATTTTTTCCTCTTCTCCATGCGTTCTCGTTCAGTGCCCAGTACCGAAAACATAGTAAACGTCATAATCTTTATGTATAAATTTCTTCCTCTGCAAACAGAACACTCAGGCTTAACATAGTTCCATTCTTTTGCAAGTGGCGTTGTATAGACTGGGATATATCTCATGAGGCGTAGGTACACCTTTTATAGCGGAGCCTTCCGACCCACATCGCCACTTCTGAATGGTTCCACCACGCCCGCGTGATGTTTGACCACGTTTTGGGTACTGATAATACTTGATCCACGGCCACTATACGAACCCGGTGAGCCTGAGGAAGATGTCGATGACGTATGAAATACCAACCGGTTTTATGAGAAAGTGTATATCAATTGTTGTACATGTGTTAGCATATGATAATACATTTGGATCGAGAAAAAGACGTTGAATTGTATTGTATACCTCAACATATTTCTTTCCAAACGCGATTCTGCCACGGTGCATCGTCAAGTTTAAGTTTAGAGGAAGATTGAGTGTGGAGGGATTTGCCGTGAGTGGTGAATAGCATGGGGTCTTTGGTGAGTGGGAATCATGCTTTTTATCGAAATAGTGGTCTAGACAAACTCCATTATCCATTTTGCCAATAACCGATCAATTTATCTGTAATGAATCGTCATTTACTAAAATAAGTTAACCATTCTCCATCCCTTAGAAAGGCTGATCCATAAACAGGTTATAAATACAACACCTTATTCATATTTCCTGTATGTAGTCTTCTCAGCACAAAGTATATTTCTCAAAGCAACCAATTGCTTATCACTGGACTCTTCTCATCTCGTGAGTCTGTACGGGTTGATTGATATACATGTCATCCAAATAGTCTCTTCAAGTAGCAGTCAATAGATGGAATGCAATACTCCAACTTACTCTTACAAGAGCAATCAACAATCCCCATCCCGCGTCGATGTTTCCAGTTAGCAACATCTTGCTTCCGTTTGAGAACGTGACGGTAGTATTCAGATTTGATATACCGGGTTCAGTGCTGAACTGATGATTCAGTTCTACAGCGTCGAGGACGGTGATTGAATTGTCTATAGCATCATCGCTTTGTTAATTTTCAGCAAAAGCTATAATGTTTGGATCTTATTATAGACCGAACACATTGCTGCAGTAACAAAAATAAAAGTGTAAGCCAAATAAATCAAGGAATATGAATCGTAAGGAACCGCGGAACAAGTGCTACTAACAATTTATGTGTACCTATTAGTGCTTTTGGCGGGGTAATAATACTTTCGGTAACGTGCACGACGAATACACCTGTTGCTATCAGTCTGTAGGTAACAATTTAAACAATAAAGCTTTGTAGTTAAATCATATGCCACACAGCTCTTGCATAAATAGCAATACGATGCTCTTGATTCTTCCGCTTGCATCATTTTATTACACTTCTTCGTATAGAAAGGAAATTTTGTCCATACATACGTCGGCTTACTTGTTTCGTTTCCTCAAGCATATCGGCATCTTTGTATACGGGTGCGTGTTGCTGTACGATTGATTTTATATGACATTTTTGTATTCGCCGTGACTTTCCATCCGTAAGAGATAAAACTTGGCGTTACGCCACCTTCATCGGGACGCAATCGGCGATGTAGTCGAGCAAGTTGCACCGTTGTACATGATAGTCCCAGTCTTTCATATGGAATATTATACAATATCACCGAAGCGGTTTTTGTAATCTTTAAAAAATGTACAGTTAAAATGACGAGAAAGAATAAAAAGTGCAAAAATTAGAATAAGGTATCGAACATAAAGTAGTTAGATGTAATAATGACATATAGAGCATGCGCTTCAACTTACCTCGACTGTGGCATGTCATGGAGTAAAGATTGATAAGAGGTACCACGCGCATAACGTCAAATGACAGTGATTCCTTGATTGTCCCGCGACGTGAATTGAATTCTGTAATGACCAGAGACATCACTAATTAAAGCCGTCTCTATGTCAGTAATTCGACATTAAGCTACAAGATCTAGAGAAACTCTCTCGAAGTGTTACTGACCTCAAAGTAATAACGTGATCCGACAGTGTTCGAGCCTAATCACAGCATTGTGTTGGTGTTTTGAAGAATGAGCTGCATGTGTATGGTTTAACGAGCAATGTGTCAGCATAGTTGTTCAATTCTGACCAAGAGTTCATTACGAAACAGAAATTCCAAAGAATCTCAGATAACTAACCGGTCTCGTAAGCACGTCTTTGCGGGATAATTTTGGGCACACGAGACAATAATCACGTGGTGAGTATTCAACATTAAAAACTTGCGCTCAATGCTGGTAAGCAATTTGTTCCTGAATTAATTATTGGCCCTAGGCCGTCGGTGCTTCGGCACGGTATTTTTGTCATTTAAAGTGATATTGTTACAGTGAAAGAAGTCTGTCATATTGACGCCAACCGCATTATTATAGAAGCGGGATTGGTCATAATAGTAATGATATATTAGGAACCCGAGTTAGTAAGTATGAGCCTTTGCTCCTTCTCACTGGTTATTGGTGGTGGGCACTAATAACTATCATCAAATACTGACTATCGTCCATTGACAACGTTTAGCAACTGCCTACTACGACAATGCCAAACACAACGATGCAAATTTCATCACAAACAGCGCAATGCTGTCTACAGCAACGACGACGACCACCACTACCACTACTATTACAACCACTACTACTCTTACTGCTACTACATGCAACGATGATAACTTTTTAATTAGACTCATGCTTACAAATGTCAGTTGTTTACCTCTCTTATGTTCACTCGGGCTTCTCAATTTAATGCATCCTAGATTAATCAATTTCGCAAAGTCCGAGATGCTTTTTACTGTAAACAGGATTCCCAATATTCATATTATCCGAAGGCTGCGAGTTTGAACAGCCAATCAATACATGGCAACGACGATGACAATGTAATTAGAAAGTCTATAAACGTTGACAATAAGATCGTTGGGTAAAGGCCTAACGGACGAATTGGAAGAAAAGCAATCGGTGTATAGGCTGATAAGAAGAAAATAGTGTACTATGCATTAGAATACTAGAACGGATAGACTAGGCACTATCATGTTGACATCAGTACAGATCAATCCAAAACCTGCTTACGACTCGCGCAAGAACTCGTAGAGGATGGACAAGTTTTCGAACATACTTTGTAAACAATATGATGTAGTATGGTCACGTGGTATTAAACTTTTTGTTGAAAAATACCAAAAAAAAATAAAGAATCAAACTACCGAGTGATGTGGTGCCCATAATTTGTTGTGGTGATAGGTATCGAGCCATTTCAGATACCGTTAGCTATGGAGTAACAGCCATATCAAACGTGAAACAGGATCGGCCGAAAGGAATTCGACAACAATGCAACACGTTACCCAGCACAAATTGCAAATCTCGAAAAAAAGCCTTTGTCTTCGGTATGACTAACAATATCACACACGGCCAGTGAGAAATCGGCAACAGAATATGAACAAGAATATGGGCATAGAAATACTCTGGCAGGCACCAACACCACAGTCCCCGAATCGTGTGGGGGGGGGGGGGGGGGGGGGGGGGGGGGGGGGGAAAAAAAAATTTTTTTTCAAAGAAAATTTTTTTTGGTGGTTTTTTTTTTTTTTGGGTTTTTTTTTTTTTTTTTGTAT